GTGTTTTTTTTTTTTTTTTTTTTTTTTTTTTTTTTTTTTTTTTTGCTAAGCCTGATCTGGATTTGAGGACATTCTTAAGGTCCTCAAATTCAGGACCCTCATTGTAGGAAAAAAATATGACTCCCACAAGTTTGTCATTTGACTCCACACATGCACACAGAATAAATGTAGACACAGATTCCAACTGGGAGGAAAAAACAGTTAAAATGAGGTCTGTAAGATAAGTTGGCGAGTAAAGGTGATTGCTGCCAAGCCTGATAAGGAGAGTTTGATTCTTGAGACCCACATAGTGGAAGGAGAAATCTGACTCTCACAAATTGTCCTCTGTCCTCCACATACATGCCCTGGCATGCACAAGACTGCTTCACCCACATAAAATAAATCAATAAACAATGAAAGAAAGAAAGAAAGAAAGAAAGAAAGAAAGAAAGAAAGAAAGAAAGAAAGAAAGAAAGAAAGAGTTAAGATTGTAAACTTTATGTATTCTGTGTTACCACAATTGACAAAAAAAAAGGGGGCATGGGGCAAGAACAACAAATCCAAAATAGAGATTGCTTGTGCTTTGCCTTGAGGTGTGCTGGAGCTGGAGCTATCATGGGAAAGTAAGAGTCTCAGTCAGGAACATGAGTACATTCTGTACTTTATGAGCTCAGGAAAGAGTTTAGCTCTCCAGTACTTCAAAAGACTGTTGCCCAGGCTTGGTGCCTGGAAATGCTTCTTCAGCTGCAGGGAGAGGTGGAAGGAGAGTCTTTCAGCCATTTTTCATAGATGCCCTCTACCACAGGAAGCTGATTATAGAGCTTTGGTGACATAGTGTTTGTCATACACATAGCACACACACACAGAGGCAGGAGGAGAGAGGAAGAGAGAGAGGGATAGGGAGGGAAGGAGAGAGAGAGAGAAAGAGATCCCTTAAAGTGTGCCTCTAGGGTCAGTGTGTTAATTTTCTGTTTCTGATGTAACAAAGTCCCAGTCTTAGTGGTTTAGAATAATATATGTATATTGTCTTACACTCCTGTGTCAGTGGTCTCAGTTAGATATGTTAGATTCTTCCTTTCTTCCTTTCTTCTCTTTCTTCCCCTTCCTTCCCTCATTTCCTCCCTCTCTCCATTCTTCCTTCCTTTCCTCACTTCCTCCCATCTGTCTGCCTGTCTCTCTTTCTCTCATTCATATCTTTTGAAACAGGATTCCCTAGAGCCCAGGCTGGCCTTGAATTCTCTACCAAACCAGGCTGGTTGTTATCCCTGATCCTCTTGCCTCCAGATTCTAAATATTGGGACTGCATGTATGCAACAACACATTCACTGCAGCTTTGCAGGTTTCTCTGCTCCCAGTTTCCTAAGTCCAAAATCAAGGTCTCAACAGGCTGTGCTGCCTTTCAAGGTCATTGGAGAGGTATCTGTTTATGAGTTCACTCAGGTTGACTGGCAGGTTCAGCCCTTGGTATTTTCTGAACTGGAGTCACTGGTCCTGAGGTGGCTGCTGGCCAGAGCTTATCTGTGGTAATAACAACAACATGAGATTATGCTCCTTATGTTTTCCTTGCTCACTCTCCTCAGCAAGTAGGTAGAGCTGCTGCTTAGTTTTCAAACTTCCATGGCACCTACCTCTTTCCCCTACCTCCATCCCCTGCTTTTTAGTGGAGGTGTTGCTCAGATGACAGGATAGTTTCTCTGGGAACAAGCAATAAATGACCCATAGTATCACAGCAATGCCACGATAGTGTTTGATTGGCCAAGCAAGGGAGGGAGACATGGGAAGACACTCCAAATTCCAGTGCCAAGCTTCTGTTACCACATCTGTAGAATGGAGATCAGAAATAGAACTCATGTCCAAGAATCAGAGATGATTTCTTCCTTCAAAAAGCCACTCACTGAGCACTTACTACTACCCACAGCAGGAGACAGGTCCAAGGCATGTGACAGAAGGCTATACAGTTGCAGAGTCTTGAAAGCCCACTGTGATAGCTCTGGAAGAGTACAAGAGATCACTGCATGGTCTCTGCAGGCAGGATTGCTAGAATAAGCATCTAGCTCTGCTCTTTCACCTTGGCAAAGCCTTCCTCTTTGTATGTCCATTTTCTGTGTGTCAGTGGGCAATGAGAGCAATGCACGTCACTCCTGAGCTGAACTAAATGAGTGAGAAAAGGATGATGCTTTCACTAGTAGAGAGAACGCATGCTCTACAGGATGATATTCCTTTATTAATGGTTTGAACCCGTGCCCAGTTCCAGTGCTAGAACTCCACTGCTGTCTAGGAGCTCTTTGCATTTTCTAAATGCAGTTCATACCCAATAGCGTACTTGTGCGTGCGTGCGTGCGTGTCTGTGTGTGTGCGTGTGTGAAATTGCCCATTATATAATTGGCTTTGGTTTAACAAGCAGACTATGGCAGAGTAATATCCCTGGAAAATCATTCTGTGGGACTTGGAAAACAGGAAACCCACAAAAGAACATTCTAGAGAGATCATGTGAGGAATGTATAACTAATAAAATGTTCAGGTTTTCTTTTTAAGTGATAACCAGCTACCAGTGTCCCAGAGAAGAGCAATGATTTATCCACTGTAAGGAGGGCTGAGCTTCCTTGCTTTCCTACTAGCTGATGCCATTCATGCTACATTGCTCACTTCAATCCAGCATTTGTCAATCTGAATATCCAGTGGAAGCTTTGAAAATGGTATGGAGAATTTATCATGATCTTGGATGGGTGCAGAAAGATGTTTTGTGCTTTGACTAGTCAGAACCATTTAGTTTTTGCTGAACTAAGATCAAGTCTGCTGTGCATGATACACTGTGCGGTCAGAAGGGTGAGGCACATACATTCTTTCAGGAAAAGACCCTTGACTTTGACTCTTCTCGGGTGCCTGCTACTGCCTCAGGCAAATTCCCATTGAGCTTTGCAAATCTCTGCAGTCTGTGAAAGCACTGGGCCCTTTACACCAAAGGCAGTTTTATTCTGTGGAAGAAGACCATAGTGGAACAAAGCCCCAAGGAAACTTACACACACACACATACATACCTAAAAGAGAAAATAAAAACCCAGATCTTACTGTTGCATGTCTCTCAATGTATTTTCCCCAAATAGTAAGGCTGTTATGTAGATAATAGAGCTCATTAGGTGTAAATGACAATTTCTGTC